TTTTTTTTTTATTAATCTCGGCATAGCTCGTGACATCACCTTCTCACGCCACCCTGCAAAAATTAAAAAAATTAAAAAAAAAAGGAGGCGGCCCCTGTTTCCACTGAAAAGAAAAAGAAAAAAATGAAAAAATGAAAAAAAGCAGCCTTTCTTTATCCTAATCTCTTCGTCTGTTCTATATTTATACCAAGAAACCAATGCTGCTTACTCTGCAGTGTCAATTTTTTTGAAAAAAAAAAAAAACCGTAAGCAGCAGAGGGCTAAACTCTGTTTTTTCTGCATTTTCTTCCATTTGGGTTTTCCGAAGTAATATCCATTCATGGAGAAACCACAATCGCCCATTTCCGTCTCACAGAAGACCGCTACAGTGGACCCACCGGAGGCTTCCCCAAAACCCTACAAGAAAAGCTTCGTCACCACTTTAATGGAGGCCACCACTCTCCGTTCTTCTTCCTTCAAGGAAGACACCTATTTTGTTTCCCATTTGAAGCCTTCTGAGAAGAAGGCGCTGCAGGAGTTCAAGGACAAGCTCGCCGCCTCTCACGGTTCCGATGACGACCCCACCATGTGGGGGATTCCGCTTCTCTGCGGAAGCGACAAAGCGGATGTCATTCTGTTGAAGTTCCTGCGCGCCAGGGACTTCCGGGTCTTGGATTCACTTCACATGTTGGAGAAATGTCTGGCTTGGAGGAAAGAATTCGGAGCAGACAGCATCACGGAGGAGGACTTAGGGTTTAAGGAGCTGGAAGGAGTGGTGGCTTATATGCAGGGGTTTGATAGAGACAGGCACCCTGTTTGCTACAATGCATATGGGGTTTTCAGAGACAAGGATATGTACGAGAGGATCTTCGGCGACGAGGAGAAGCTGAAGAAGTTTCTCCGGTGGAGAGTTCAGGTTCTGGAAAGAGGCATAAGCCTCCTGCATTTCAAGCCTGGTGGGGTAAACTCCCTTATTCAGATAACTGATCTCAAAGACATGCCCAAAAGAGAGCTACGGGTCGCTTCAAATCAGATCCTCTCTCTCTTCCAGGACAATTACCCAGAAATGGTTGCTCGAAAGGTACTTAATTTATCAACCAAATGGGTTTTCTCTGTTCATTCTTTTCACTAATTTCAATCTGTTTTTGGGTTCTTAGATTTTCATCAATGTCCCATGGTACTTCAGTGTGTTATACTCCATGTTCAGTCCATTTTTAACCCAGAGAACCAAGAGCAAGTTCGTCATCTCCAGAGAAGGAAATGCAGCGGAAACACTCTACAAGTAAGTCTTGTTAGCTCCTTTTGGATCTCCTTTTCAACTGTTCTCCCCTGTTTATGCTCTAAAGCAGCTTCTGCAATTTGGGGAATTTATTCAGAAATTAGTTTACCCTGTTGTTACTAATTTGTTATTGTTTATCAGATTTATAAGGCCGGAAGATGTTCCGATACAGTACGGTGGACTGAGTCGACCCAGTGATTTGCAGAATGGTCCTCCAAAACCAGCCTCTGAGTTCACCGTCAAAGGAGGAGAGAAAGTGAACATTCAAATTGAAGGGATTGAGGTCCATTTTATAAACCCTAATGCAAATTAATTTCCTTTATCCTGAAAGCTACTAAATTTCCATAATGGGTGGTTTGGTTTAATCAGGCCGGTGCAACCATAACATGGGACCTAGCGGTCGGTGGTTGGGACTTGGACTACAGCGCAGAATTCATTCCCAATGCAGAAGACAGCTACACTATTGCCGTGGAAAAGCCTCGGAAAATGTCTCCCTCTGAGGAGGCCATTCACAACTCCTTCACATCTCGAGAAGCCGGGAAAATGGTTCTCTCTGTTGACAACACCGCCAGCCGGAGAAAAAAGGTTGCTGCTTATCGTTATATTGTCAGAAAATCCCCCATTGTCTAGCTTCACTTCAGCAGTTTCACCATTAATTATAGGATTTTAAGAGTATTTATTTCGAGTCCTCTTGCTGAATGTTTGTGAACCCTTTTCTGATTTTCCGAAGACAGTACTGAAATTTGTTCATGTAATGTATAAATATGGTGGTATTATCATCTTAATATGGTTTAATACAACAGAATATCAAGAAGGTAGTTTAACTTTGTTTGAAAACAGTCTATTTCTGTTTGTTCATCTTGGAGAAAGATTTGAGCATGAGATTTGAAACAGAGCTTTCAACTTTCTGAAGATATGAGGTTCTTTTGAAAAAGTGGTTCGTTGATGGGATCAAATTCAGACAGTTCCTTGATATGTGTCTGGTTCTCCAAAAGGGGATTCCCTGCTTAATGGGCAGAAATTTTTTTTCCTGATGTTGTACAGTTTCTTTATATGTTCTTGTGTTTTTTTGTGGGTATTGTGTCTCTCAAAGGAAGGACGAGCAGTGAGGAAGATAATGACTGGACTCTGTTGGGTTTGGCTTATGATTGTGTAAAATGGCTGATGAGAATTCCAAAGTTTCACGGGTGATTTTTCTGTTTCTTGACTATTATCAAGACTCTGTTTCTTATGTTCAGTTTTTTCAGATCTCTTGTTCTTCAAGCAAAGGTCTGATTGGCTTCAGAAAAGTCATAGGAGAATGCCTTTGTCTCCTAGTGGGGTAAAACTTAAAAGGCATGGACAAAGTGTTCTTGGCTACGGTGTTTGACTAGGAAGAGATAGGTATTTTAACTTTCGTTAAGAGTGTTACTGCATGTTTGAGGACTCGTATGATGCACCAAAAGGCTGCATTTCTGGTTCTGGTTGTGGAAACAACGTACTAGAGCCTTGTAGAATCAGAGTGTTGGACCCATTTAAAATCTGTTTCCATTAAAAACTCCCTCACTTTTTGCATGAGAAGAGAGCCAAATGCCATCAAGTGTATAGCTAAAGGCAATAACTTCATGTCCAGCATTGGAAGGAAAATATTGAAAAGAATCACAAGCAATGTTTTCTTATAATTAAATCGATTAGTCACGTATGATAACAATTTACACCCGATTGGATGCAGTGGTTGAATGCAAGCAGGATACACAGGTAGGTCAATTTATGGCTTAATTGCAGATACACTGTTCCTTCTGACTAAAAAGAACCAGTGGAGGCTGGAGATATAGAGTTTCACATGGAAGGGGTTTGGAGAAAGATGGAGAATCTTGTAAGGAAATCATGTTAGAGACATTGGTCTCTCCAACTTTTCTATAGAAAAGCCCAATAAGCTATTGCACATAGCTCAAATAATGCCGTCATACATGTTTGCTACTTTCTGCAGTCACAAGAACTTCTAACATCCATATATTTGGGCACCGATGGAAATGCATCCAGCATTTAGAAATGATTAAATACTGGAGGAATGAAGAGAACCATTGCATCCATACTCTAAGATTAATTAAGTAGTATTAGGTGATCTCTATGGAGAGTCTGTTGATGTTTCTGGATTGCATTTGCTTCTCTTATTTTCAGGCATGTTCACCACAACTGGGGTCAGAGGTCATCAATGATCAGACTGTTGAACGGACAGCAAGGAAGCTGAACAAGAGCCCAGGGCAGCAGGTTCTGGTGAAATGGGCTCTCCAGAGATGGACTAGTGTCACACCAAATCAAGCGATACTGGTAGGACCAGAAGAACATAAAGGAACTTTGAATGGGAAAATCCTAGAAGACGACTTCTAAGCCCTTTGCTAGACTTCTAATCAGGTAAGTTCAGATTCATCTTGTCCATTTTTTCCTAAGACTATTAACATTAGCCTTTCCGGTTGATGCAGCAAGAA